GCTTTTTGAGTACTCTTGTGCATTTTACTCTACATTTATAAGTGATGAGTCAAAAAATATTACACAGTATGAGGAATACAGATAGATGGTGCTGATTTATTGTTATTGATTACATTTTATGTGGAAATAGTTTACTAATTACTCTATAAGAGAACAATGTCTTTTCACTGAGCTGATCCTCCTTTCTGTATTATCAGGTACAGCAAGGTGTACAACAAAAAGTCCAAGAAGTGGAGCTTGTACTCATTGAAGGTGGAGAAGGAACTACAGTTACATCGTAGACCTCCAGAGTGCCATCCTCCTCCTCCTCCTCTGGTTGTCTACTACTGAGGAGATGCATAGAAGCAGAACCAGGAGACCTGATGATCCCTCTCGTCATGGGGTTCAGTCAGGTGTCCCTGCCCCAACTGTGTTGCTAGATACAGCAAAATATAAAACAAAAAGTAATATGGTTGGTTTTGATTGATTGTTAGTATTCATGTCAGAGAGGTGACTGTGATATATCAAGATAGTATATAATAACAATAAACAATTGTTATACCACATTTGGATGTCATTATTTCAGACATAAGACACAAATGTAGTTGCTTGATTGTTTATGCTGCAAGTGTAAATAAAAGGCATTTTCATTCAATTTTTCATTCATTTTCAATGTTTTATTTAAAAATGAATGAAAATATTATCCAGAACAAGGAAAAATATCTTTTTTATGTGTCTGTATTTTCTCTACCCTCCTGGGCATAAAAAGAAAACAATGTACAGGTATTCATTCACACAGTGGAGGGACTTATTTGTGTAGCAGTTGGTCCCGGTCTGTGTTGGGCTCTGGTGTGCAGTCCTCATCAGAGACAATAATGCTGTCATCATGGAAGCTCTAACATGCAAAACAACGTACAAGTTATGAGTCTAACACGAAATACACGTTCCTGTAGTGTAACTGATGGAAACGGGAAAATGTATCAGCCCGTTTTTAGCTTTGCCCAATGTTACCGCAGCTGTTGGTACAGCTACCTGTTGCCAACGGTCTTTTTAAACCTATCCAATAATAAACATGCTAGCTTGATAGTGTGTACTAACAGCCGGGTTAGTTGTTTATTTTCATAATAATAAAGTTAGATGTTTTCTTACCCCTGATGTGAGCCCCTGCTCTCCGCTCGTCACACTGGGCAACGTGCGTTCACGTATTTTGGGGGCGTGGCTTTGGAAGGAGCCCAGAAGGGAGGGGGTGAAATTTTCTCTGTTGGATACTTTCAAAAATCAAGCAGTTTCTGGCCAGTTTCTCAAACCTACCTACCTACCCTGCCTTTAAGGCTTAAAATTATGCATATTTAAGGACGTAAGTGACAAGAAGGTGCCCTCTCAGGTGGCCGGCCACTAGGTGGTTCCACCTCTTGGCTCTCATGAACCCACAAGTGCACACACAGCTTGTGTAATGTGTAAGAAGGATTTGCATTTTGCTTAGGAAATAGCTGTTTGTTTTATTGTGATAACTCTCACTCAGTTTTGAAAGTTAGTAACTAACTTTCAATTGTCTTGGCTAACCTTTGCAGTGCTATAGGAGAGGACACAGTAAAGTGGGTAGTTAGCTTTTTTCCAGGGGGAAAGGGTTCAAAGGTCTAAGGTTTAAGAGTCACTGTTTGCTATTAAATTTATTAATTTTGGTTGGAAAAGGGCAGCCTTTGCTTTTTATTTTCTCCAATACTAGCTATGAGGGGTGAGTCATAGATTATCCCTCAGTCATCAGGGAGGCTTAAGGAAAAATATATGTAGCTCCGGGGAGGGTCTAAATAATAAAAGTCACACCCCAGCCACACCCGCTCCTCTGATAAATAATGAAAAGTCTCTTACAAGTGTCTTTGGATTGCCTACAGCTACCAACAAGTCTGAGATTGCAGACAAACATGTCCACATTTCAGGTCAGTCAAAGTGCACATACAAAAGCACCCTGTCAAAAAAGCATTGAAATCATTTGCTCTAAGCGCCAAACAAAAAGATGCATTTCATGAAATTTGGTAAAAAGTTAGGCAAGAAACAAACTTTTTTGCATAGATAGCATGAACTATCCATCATAATAATGCATGCCAAATGTCAAGCAAAAACACACATCTAACAGAAATGTAAGGCTTTTTTGAGGTAGTTAGTGGTTGAACAAAATGTTAAGGTTTTTGTGACATCCACAACACATTGTTATTTTTGATACCTATATTGTTTCCTTTATCCCGTGAGAGTCAATCAATTAATGTGATAAAAACAGATTTAACGAAACATGCTCACAAGAAGTTAGCATGTTTCTTTCTGGAATTTGGAATTCAATTGAAGAGTCAGCATTGTGAAATGCCCTGAAGGAAATAGAGGAGGCTGACAAATCTAGGGTCCCTAAAACACATCTGTTTATTGTTGCTTTAGTTCCTTCTTTTCCCTTCAATCCAAGTCTCAACTAAAATGTTGTCCACACCACTTCACAATTCAAAGGGCTTTTTACTTTTTCTCACCTACTGAATGGTATTTGTGTAGTTCGACACAATCTACTTTTCTGACAGGTCATGTGAAGGTCAAGGTGGCCACATGAATTTGCTTCATCTGGTAACTGTCTTATGTAGTAAATCTGTGAAGCTTAGGGATGAGCAGGATATGACTGTGATTACTTTTACAGCGTTCAGGCTCCCCGAGGAGCTACTGTTCTGCCAACAGAACTATATACTACTGGCAATTGAGCACTTCTCTCAAAACATAAAAGATAGCAGGGATATTTTGGTTATTAGAAGCAAACACCTCATCTATAAAAGTATTTTCCTTCAACTGCAATAAGAATTTTTAGGTGTTAAACTTGATCAGCAAGATCTGGTCTACCTTATGTTTCATATTGTGTTTTTAGGTTTTTACACTACTTGTCTTTTGATGGTGCTTTGTCTCTACAAAATATTTTGCAAACTGTTTTGCTTAGTTTGCCGCATACCTTAAAAATTGCCACATTCTTGTAAACTTTGTTGCTGGTTGAGACAAACCAACCCCTCCCCTCTTTATTAGCAGTACCTGCAGGCAGTGAATCACATCAGCAGCACAGGGAGGAGGACAGGAGGAAGAATTGATACAGACTGATGTCTGTGAAGGTTCTCAGTCATCCAGGTCAAAGCTATCCAACAAAGGCTGAGGTCAAGGGCAACTGGACATGGTAGAAGATACTAGAAGACGTTTATCCCCCACTTACAATGCTGTTCTTTCAGTCACTTCCCAGGAAACTAAACAAGCATTTTCTCAGGTGACGATGCCAACGATGGTCCTTCAGACTTGGCCATGGGTGGCTCAAATGACCATGACGACTGTCGTTACCACAGCCAGGAGCAATGACGAACCAGCGGTATCGAGGATCCTAGCTAACGATCCCAGAGGTTAAATAGCTGAGTTTCCTTACAAGTCAGTCAGAACTGAAGAAGTCTCTTGGATGAGGGATGAAACATCTTCTAGTATCGTCAACAGTCCAGTCCAGTTGTCTTTGACCTTCGTTGGATGACTGATGTCTGAGTTCTTCATTCTCTCTCAACTTTACTTCATTATTTTGATGTCAGGAACATGATTTTATTGACATTTTAGATTTGTTTCCAGTGAGACATTATTGCGTTTATATAGTGACTTTGCTGCTGTAAAGATTACTGTTGCTGCTCTAGAAACAACATTTAGTTATATTTAAATGATTCAATCCTAATCCTGTTCAGAATTTAAAATAATATATTTTAGTAATGAAAATTAACTGACAAGAGTATCGATAAAGAACCAAATGATAAGCACTACACACAAGAGCACCAGTATCAATAAAATCCTAACGATGCCCATCCATAATCTGGCAGAAGGATAAAGACAAAGTTTATGATAATTTATCACTCACAGTTAACCAGTCCATCTCTGGGCAGAAGGAGGGGGAACGGTCATACCATTTTCAATATGCAAGAATGTTTGTTGCTTCACATCTATGATACACTGTGTCCTTGTTCTGATTAATTTACTTTAGTGTTTATAAAGATTAACACATTAAAATTAACTTTAGTATTGTTGCTATTTGAGGGGGGGTCGAGTAGATTTCTGACCCACTTGCCCGACTGAGCAAGTGAAAATAAACATTAACGTTGCCTTTTTCAGACAGTGGACAATAGAATCCTTTTCTATTCTACAAGTTTAGAGCATAGATCCCTTCATCAATGCTAATGAAAAACAGAAACATCATAAAAACGGTTTATCAGAATGGTTTGCAAATGCACTGATCTGAAGAATCCATTGTAGGGAGACTGTGAAACTGGTATTGAGAGTCCTCTCTCACATTCCTCTTATTCATACAGGTGTCACTCCCACCCTTTTTTGCTTCACCTGCAAGCAGACAGGTCTGTGCATGCACAGCCGAGCCTGCCCTCAGTACTCCAGCACACTACATTTGAACTGAAACAATGACAATGTTGAAATGCTGACTTTCAGCTTCAAGGGTATCTGAAGGTGATCCACATTGGACGAGCACAGTATAGTCCAGTGCAATGCAGGAGGACAATGACAGGGTTATGATTCCTACACAATCACCTAATGTGTATGTAGACACCCTCAAATTATAGTCAAGCTGAAAGTCAGCACTTTCCCCTTATAGGCATTGTTTTATTTCAAATACAATGTACTGGAGTACAGAGCCAAAACAAAACAGAAAACTTTTCACTTTCCAAACATGGACTGCATTGTTTTCTGTGTGGAAGCTCCACAATAAAAAGTAATTAAAATTGGACAAAATGTATAGTTCACAAAAGCAAAAAAAAGAAAGAAAATAACCTGTATTTTTCTCATCCAGCATGTGGATGTGGTTAGGAAGGGTGTGGGATGCCATGTCATTTTTAGGGTGCTGTGTACTGTTGTTTAAGCTTTGTGCCGTCTCATTAGTATACACACTAGAGCAGGGTAGAGGGGTTTAGTGTTAAAATACAAAATGTTCATTAAAAATACACAGGCAATGGCCATGGTTGCAAATGCAAGTTTTACATTCTTTATTTCTAGCAGTGTTCAAACACAGATCTGCTCAAAAATGACGGAGAGATCATATTAACCTGCTCAAAAACACCTGGGCTCTCCCAAAAACCAGTAAAACAGCCTTTGATTTTCTGTTGTAAACAGACTCCTCCTACTGGGAAGTTTCCGTGCCACAGAGAAATACCACGATCTCTGAAACACTCATCAACTTGTATCAACATATCGGGGATTACTCCTTCTCTATACAATGTCTGAAGTAATTACTATAAATGTTGCCTTTCAGCAATTAATCCTATTCAAGCTCACTCAGGATAATACTTATACTTATAATACTTACTTATTATAATTATGGGAAAGGGGTTGCTCAATACTGAATAACATAAGATTTACATAATGTTAGTATGTAGTCATAAAAACTAATATATATATATATATATATATATATAAATACAAATTGGTGGTCTTCCAGGTTGCCACATACAAATGCAAAAAAAGTCAATGATTGTTTTCAATCTCCACTGGAGCTGGTTCTGAAGCTTTCAACCCTATCAGATGATCTTCACAGTGAAAACTAAAGGAAAGGATAATAATGTTCATGCTGTAAACTCATGACTGCATCCCCCGACATGGAGAGATCTCTGTTGTGAAGTTTATGGATGACACCACCATCATCAGCCAGATTTCAAACAACGATGAGACTTCATATCGGGAGGAAATTCATAATCTTGTAGAGAGTCCAACCTACTGCTCAGCGTCAGCAAAACTAAAGCTGAGGTGGAGCAGGTGAACAGGTTTCAGGTTCCTGGGAATCAGCATCACGGAGAACCTGACATGGTCATCTCACATCTCCACACTGGTGAAGAACGCTCAGAAACAACTATATTTCTTGAGGAACCTTAAGAAGACCAAATTTCCATGCCAAGTTCTTGTCCACTTTTACAGAGGAGCAATAGAAAGCATCTTGACTGGAAACAAACTAAGATAAAACTAGCATAGGATGTGCATGGCCCAGGACCGAAGGGCTCTGCAGTGGGTGATTAAAACTGCTCAGATCATTGGTACCGATCTCCCGTAGTTTCTGCTTTCTCCCAAGTTATCAGACTCTTAAAGTCTAATTCATCCTCAGCACCACTCCATTAATTATAGTTTATTTATGTTTACCATTTTTATAATTGATTCTTTATGAATGTATATTGTCTTCTATGTAGAAGAAGGGAGTTTCAAAACTCAGTTTCACTCTATAACCTACCTACCTATAAGAAGTCCCAAAAGTGCTCAAAATAATAGAATTATTGTTAGAATTATTAATCTACATTTATTATGTAGAATGAAAAAAAAGAGAACTTCAATTTGGGAGAATGGTTGTTAAGTCTGAGACCGTTGAAAGTACAATTTGGGACAGCTGCCTTAGCCTGAGGAGAAGTAAATGGCCCTTGAGTGGTTTGTGAACTGCTGTTTCCAAGGTCTATTCTGAGCTGTTAAGCTCAAGTCAAAGTTAAAAGCACACTCTACCAACTAATTTGAATAAATCAAAGTTTATTTAATGTCAGTATCAAATGCAAGTGCATTTCAAAATAAACAGTACTGCTTATACTCTGCCAGACTATTAACATTTCCTATGTAAACAAGGTCAAGATCATCTTCTGAAACATCTAAACTAGTCTATAAAGTTATGATATGGGACCTAACCTAAATAATACAGAATTATGTTCTGAATTTTTTTTTCATTAAGAAGTGTTTCAAAAAATCTGTAACACAAAAGTAATTATATTTCCCTAAAAAAGCAGTTACTCCTAATATTAAGGGTGTGAGTGTCTGGTGCAAAATGTTAATTGACAGACTGTGTCAAAAATTTAGAAAAAAATTTAGTGTATGACATCAAGGAAGAACAAGTTTCTATTTAAGCCAAGGCAAACAAAGTTTAGTTTCCAAGTATTTATCCAACTAAAGGCCTAAGCTAAAGGTTGCTTTGTTAAGCTCTTAAATGGTACTCATAATAGGTTTATGAACACTGTCTGAATGCTTAAACATAAATTTTACAGTCTTTTCAGCCAACAAGCAATCCCTCAAAGCTCCAGCGCCAGAGGTCAGGACTCAGTATTTTCATAGTATAGTGCAGCTCATACTAAGCCTTTTCTATTCTGGAAGCTTCACAACAGCTTTTATCTTCCTGTGGCAGCTAAGCCTCCCAGAAACTATCTGAAATTGATCCATGAACTTTCCATTTTATGAAATAGTCTAGTATTTTGATGAAAACAGTCTGAAACAACAGAAAACGTACTTCACCGTTTGTTTTTATCATTCCCCTTCCTTCAGACACATTCAGAAGACTACATGCATAACCTTGCACAAGAAACCATGTGTGCATGCACAAACACACCCATGTCCAAATCTACATAAACAGTACAATCTTCAGGCCTCATAAAGTGGAGTAACAGTGCCATCCTTCCACTCAATCAAGATTTCTCCTCGTTGTAAAGTAGGGGTGGAGTGTGGCAGGCGCATGGCATGCTCTGTCAGCGGGGCTCTTTCACTGGGCACCGGGGACCCGGGAATACTCACCTCTGGCCTCGGAGTGTATGACTTCAAAACACACACCACCTTCTTCCTTCTGGCACAGCAAGACAGACAAAGATAGAAAGTGGGTGGACATCCAGCATTTCGCTTTTTACCAGTGCTCTTTGTCTTCATGAAATTAATGCTGTTAACAATAGCTTAAAGCAGATTTTTATTGGTTGTGGTTTTTGGATGTGGGTCTCATACGAGTAGGCTGTTATCTGCCTATAAGGCAGGTCAGCTGCACAATGCAGGTTAGGTAGGCAGATTGTTATGTCTTTTCAGTATGCTCATGCTTTGTGTTTCAAATAATTAGTTACTCTGAAATGTCAAAAATGCTGTCAAATTGCAAATTACCAGAGACTAAAGGGGGTCTTATTAAAATGTATTACTTCTTCAGACTCAAAAAACTCAAAATGTATACAATGCAATTTACAATGATATTAAAAACAAACAAATCATTGCCTTAGAGAAGCTGTTACCAGTCAAACTTTGGCTATTTTACCATATAAATGATTAACTGATAAGCAAACTAATAATTTATGTTAACCAATTAATTCATACACTTATTAATTACTAATGACCAGCATAACCCGTGTGTGTGTGTGTGTTTAGGCACTCACTTATTGGAGTAAACATTGAGGATAAGAATCAAAGTCCCCAGGACCAGAGCCAAAGAGCTTAATACCAGCATGGTGATCTTCCAGCCCATCCCTATACACATGCATGTACAGACCAAGCAACACATCACACATTTACATGTCATTTCAACTCTTATTTATCGCTTTCTACTACATGACTCTTATTCATGCAATTGTTTAATTTCTGCCAAGACTCTGGACCTGCAAATAAAAGCCTTTACAAACATTACAACACACCCATCATAAACGTTGCTCTGTATTTATCATTCATATATCTCCACCTAGTGGTGGAAAAGTAACCACACTGTTAGGGCTTCTATGTCAACATGCGAACAGTATTGTGGAATCAAACGTTTCCGCTGATAAAACTGCACATACACTCAATCATTTATTGATTACATTATACCAAACTTACCATAGTCCATACTTAAGAAAATCATGGTGGGATCGGCAGGGGATTTGGTGCTCAGGGACAAAAGAGGCTCATCTATTACAGGATATGTTTCTGTGACCTCATTGGCAATTATATCTTCAACTAAAAGTGGAGAAAAAATAAACAAGTCAAGAACAAGTCAACTAGAAGTGATTACCAAAACTGCAAAATCATAGGTTGGATTTTTTACACAAACATATCACAATGAACATATGTGTTTAAGCTCACAAACTACAGTTTGCACAAATTCAATTTTAATGCCAATTATCATCCAGAAGAATAAGTTTCACTATGGTGTAAAATCAACTTACAAAGGTTTCTGGAACATTCTTGACAGAGGTAACACATTACAGTGAATGGGAAGAAAGATATGTATAAAGGCTCCTTGGTGGTGCATTCAAAGAAATCAAAACATTTAAACTTCAATGATCAGCTGCTGAAAAACAACCATTTCAATGGACAAAAAATGAACACATTCATTATCTTTTTCATGACATCTATTTTTACTTGTTTGCATTCTGATTTTGATTTTCTTGAAACACAGCTTCTAAAGCCAGTTTCAATTCTCTGCAAATTACCATTTTTAATCCACTGGCATGAACTAGTAACACTAGCTGGCTGGAAAGGAGGAAATCAACCTGAAACTCATAATATGATTTGAAAAATGATTAACACTAATGTCAGATGCTGATAACATTTATAATTAAAGCGGGTTTAAGGACATTTATGTTGTTGTTTTTTAAGAGTCACATTCTGTAGCAAGACACTTTTAGGTCCTTACATGGTTCAGCATGTCTGAGTACATCAGAGGTGGCACTTGGAAAATTCCCAGGTTCCAACGATTTCCACAGATAATGGGGAGGTTGGTGTTGGTTATGTTTGCTGCCTCTCCCATCACACAATGTCTGGTTGTCAAGTGTCCGCCACCTGCTGCCCTGCTTGTAGCCAAAAGAAGCTAACATTAGACATTTTAAAGACTTACTGTTATTAGGTCCTTCTGTTCCTTCTCTAAAATATTATTACCTGCTTATGCTCCCTTGAAAGGAAAACCAAAGTGGACTCTTGTCTGGCGCTAAGGTGCAGCCCCCTCCCTATTAATGTGAGGTGGCCTTTCTTGGAACAGGACCACGCCTGACTGCTTGCCACTTCAGCACCAGTCGTGTCACCTTCAGCCTGAAAGATGCAAGGCTGCAGGTGGACGCCTGCATACTGCTCTGCCGGTGCAGTCAGACACTCCCCAGTATGGTGACTTCTGAGAGCCTGGCTCTCTGGGAGCCAACGCCATTCCTGTAAGGCCGAATATGTGCTGCAATCACCCAGAGACACTCTAATTCCCAAGGTTCCTTCCTGCACCTGCAAACATTTACCCAGCAGCTTGTTCTGAATCTTAAAGCCAGACGTCTCTGTGGAGGGGACATAAGAAAGGTCCAAGCTTGAATCTTAACTCATTGTTATATAAATATCTGAGTCAAGCCATTGTTGCTAGATAAGGGAGGAACTAGGTATGAAGTTGTAAAATTAGGAGTCTTAACCAGAATACATGAGAACAATGGTCCCAATAGGTGAGAGTGATAAGCCAAATTCCATTAAAGAGATGTCAAAAATAAGCTTTTTAGTCAAACGTCAGAAAATATCACTTCAAATCGTCGACGGTAGTGTCTCGCGATACTTAGCGTACACCAGTCGGTATAAAACTGAAGCAGCAAACGGCAATTTTTATCTAAGTACGATACAGAAACTTTTTTAAAGGGTTTCAGTAGTGTTAACCCTGCGTTTGGCTAACAGCTAGCTAACGTCTGATGAAAGATGCTGCAGACATAACGTTATGTTAGACTAAACAGGTAAAATCTAACGTTAGCTTGGACTTGGAAAGTGTCCATCCAACAAATACAAGACGCACAACATTATGAAACTATATTATATAATTAGTAACGTTAGTGGCAGTTTTCTTTGGCTTTGAATCGTTGTCCTCAACTTTAGATTTGGAAATCAAATGACCAACTCCATTAAAAACTGCATATATTTTCTAACTTAGCTGATTTTGCTAAATGGAACAACTTTAACTATTTATCTTACCGTTCAAAATGAATAAAACAAACAGATAGACACACGGCAGCCGTATTCCCATGGCGATGGCGATGACAAGCACAGATACTTTGGGTCTCCCTTGACACTACAGCTTGCATATATTCCCAAACAGAGGAAAGTGCAAGTGGGCGGGAACAAAACTGCAAACAGGAAACCTGGCTCCCTCCTCTGTATCCAGTGATGGATGAAGGGAGGATCCATGCATTCCTCCAAATTATTCTTCCGGGTTTCCCAAGTGTAGTTCCCATTTGAAATGCTATTACTGTCATAGACAAATTTTATCCAAAGGTAAGATCAATTTAAAAAAATCCTTAAGTTTGGTTGCTTTGAAATGTTCCACATTCTGCTCCCAACCTGCACCTAGCTGGTCATTAGCATAGACTGTTGGGCCTTTTGATATGAATACTGTTTATGCTGTGTTGATGTGTGTTTGCTTTTGCAAACTCTATTACTGTCTTTTAGTACTAAAATCTGCTTTTTCCCCCAACTAATGTAGCCTACACAACTCATAGACACTCCTTGTTTACCACTATGGCAGGCAAGAAAATGTGTTTACACCAGTTTGCTACAACTCCATGGACTACCAATTAGATTTATAGAGCATAAATCTGTTATAAGGAGAAAACAGTGTTCCAAGCTGAATAGGATTGCTCGCTCGTTACTGTGAGGAATGGGACAGCTTTTGGGGCCTTCATGGTCACATGATGTTTTTCTCTACCATGATGCACCATAAAGTATGTGAAAAGCCTTTATCAAAACAGATTTAGTGGACTCAGAAATACTCGAACTGTAGAATGAAATTTCAGTTTTTATTTCAATAAATTTAACATTTCACAGCCAACAATAAAAATAACAAAATAGTTCCCCTTTTTGTCTGCAACAGCAACTTGTTCTCATTTATGGTTTTGTTTATCACTGAAAACCATTTCCGTTGGTTTCCACCTTGGTCAACTTTAAGCTTGCATAGAGAAGGAAACTAGTTAGGTTAATGCCATACAATAGTGTGCTGTGCTGTGCCTTGTAGGAATAAACATTTGAATTTTAAAAGTAAGCAAGTGAACACAGGTCATGTTGGTACTTCATTCATACACACTTTGTACATATGAAATATTTTTCAGTAGGCTAACTGTATTCGCCCGAATACAGTAAATAATAATAAACAGCAAATACTTTACTGCATTACAAAGAGTTAAAATGCAGTCATCTGTCAGTATTTCAAGATTATTTGAGTTCTTCTGGAAGCTCAGCTTTTGGGATCTGACCCAGTTCTACCGAAAGTGTCATAATGAGAAGGGGGGAAAAGCGACGTATAGGTTGGAAGTTCTTCTTCCTGCTGAATCAGAGGTGGAGCAGTAGGGGCTTGATGCTGCACTGAAGATGATGGGAAAGCTGTAGTTGGAAAACCATATGGAGCAGCTTGTTGTGGCCACTGACTATTATAGCCACTTGTTGTGTTTGCAGGTTGAGTGGGATCTGGTACTGGGTATCCATAAGCACCTGGGCCTGCGGGTACAGGATAAGGTCCAACGGGGAAGGCAGGTGGAGGGAAGTCGCTGTAACTTGGGGCCCCAGCTGGGTAAGGCCCCACAGCCTCACCAGGATGAAGGGTAGCAAAGCTAGAAGGAGCGATGACCAGTGGAAACACCACCTTTGGGTCAATGGCAAACTTGATGTCCAAATACACCTGGGAAACAGATACATATCAAGAAGTAAAATCGGTCCATGTCGGAAATTAGTTGGATCAAACTGCCATTTATGGAACTATTCATTAAGCTGATTGTGCTGTGTGACAGATAAACATGATTATCATATGTTATTGCACTGTAAAATGTTTAAATACAGTATCTTATACTGTCATTTTATATGCTGTTGTGCTGTTATGTTGCTTTATATTTCTATGATTGTTGAAGCGTCAAATTTAAGACAAGAATCGTCTGTTGATTAATTTTTAAGTTGATATTACCATATATATATATATGCATATTACATTATTACATACCTTGAGGTAATAGTCAACTGAGAGGATTTCACAATTATTGAGAGTGTAAATGACATCGGCAGGAATCTTCACTTGGCAGGAGACAGTTTCCTCTGAGTTCAGTTTGATAGTGTCCCCAACAATTTTGATAAGACTTTTGTCACTGGTATTAGTGGAGCCACTGGCGCGGTACACCGTTTTCTGCTGTAGACTGAATTTTGGCCTCATTTCTTTGGACGAGGAGTTGCAGATTTTGGCAACAACAGATAAAGTGTCACCTATTAAAAACAAATCAGAACATCTGAATATGCATTTTTGTTTTTCTTTCTGGAAAAGCCTTATATCACCACACGTAATAAAAAAATATTATACAGTAGGTACACATACTGTATGTATGTGCTTTATAAATGTGTAAATAAAGCATATCCATAGGCCTATACACTTCATATTTGACCTGATATTTCCTGCTCTCATTAATACCTGAACAACTTTCATCTAACTTCGTAATGAAACAATGTACAAAGCTGTAAACATATGATATCATTTGACAATACACTCATTTCATGTCTCCTGTGGTTGTGTTCCTAGTAAACTAGAGTGACTTTACCTGGAGTGCAAACCTTTCTGTTAACAGTAGCAGACATTTGGACCTGTCCTTTGGAGAATACCCCCATCTCTTTATCCACTGAACCAGACTGGGGACACTAGAACAAATCATACAAAAAGACATTATTTTAATAGCTACTCAATGCCTCATTTAGCTGAAATTCAGTCTAAGAGAAGTCTAGGAGAAAATATTGTCGTATTGCTATTAACTTTTGGATTTAGCGACCCTGGTTTGGGATAACACCAAAAAAAGTAAACTCTTCAACATCTCAAAATGAATGCTCCATTAGCAATATCTCAACAAAGCATTTGGGGAAATAAATGACACAAACTCAATTTGCAGCACACCGTGTGTAACTCACTGTATGTGTGTACTGGGACTGGAATGGGAACGCATCACAACTTGCCAGAGAATCGTGCATATTTTAAGATTTCTTCAGTATCAAAGTAATTCGGGGACAGTTGTCAGTACATCAAATGGTACACAGTAAAATGACCTGTTATTAGTTAATTTGGCGTACTTCATTTTCCAAAATGTAAACAAATATAAAATGTGCTTAGTTGCTGCACAGTCTAACTCACCATGGTAACATTAGGTAGACTACTTCTTGTTTCTTGTAAGGGTTTAGTAAGTGAAGATTTTAAATGTGAAATTTTCAAAATAAAAAGGGGAAAAACACACATTGGCTTATTCAAGCTCATATTCTTAACATTAAATCAGGTAGTGCCATCGCATTTGTTGCATAATTAAGTGCAACATATGAAGAAGTAATGTTAGGCTAAGTAAAACTTTGCACCTTCTTTTAACACCGGTTTTTAAAGTGCTTTACATCAATATCAAGTAACATCCTGGTCAAACAAATTGTACACCTTGGCCAAATTATCATTTTCTATTTAGGCTATGACTTCAAATTGAAGTAAGCCTATGAATAACAAGCCGTTATTTGTTTTTTTTGTGTTTGTGTTGGATTCATAGAATGATTTATGACATAACTGATAATTTTTCATTTTCCACATGTGGATTTCCAGTTGAATAGAGTATGAACAAATGATGGTCTACATGGATTCAACAGCACTCCATTTCCTGTTTATTCAGGTTTCCTCCCTTACTCAACTCTCATATTATCAGATTATGTAACTCTTAGATTACGCTACTGCTGCGGTTATATATGAAACTTTGCATCAGTCCTTTTTTATATAATAGCTTTTATGCTAAACCTAACTTTTTATTGTAGCCTTTCCCCCAACCCCTCTATTTAATTCTTTCAATTTTAGGCAACCATCTTTTCAGTCATGTGACATCTTATCTTAAATATTTACTTTTTACCAGCTCCAAGACAGCTTAAGGGCAGCAGGGGTTCATTTGCAAAGTTTATAGTGTATCACATTCATAACACATAGCCTATCACTGTGTCCTAGATACCATTGCTTGGCCAGGGTGTGGAAAGGATTTTGTCACAAAATTGAGCTCCTTTTGTACTCCTGAGGTCCGCCGCCAGCTCCTGACCATCTTTGCTTCAAGCGTGTAGACAATTTTTCCATGAAACCCCTTGAAGGATGACGGCATGTCCCTTTAAAGACAGAACCGGTCAAAATGTAAATATTTGTTAGAGCAAACAATGACACAGTTGGTAGGCTAATGGTAAATGTTAGAAATCCCCACTTACCCCTGTGGGATATTAAACCTGAACTTATAGCAATGAAATCCTTGGGAAAGTACAGCGCCTGAAAAAAAGTGAAAATGATTAACACTTCCTGTTTAGGCCTTGCAAATGACAGAGCCTTTAATAGCTGAGCTAATGCACTTTACATTAAGTAATCAATGAAATTTGTCATATTCTTGTGGTTCTGGGACTTTACTTGTGTGAATCAATTTCATTTAGGCCTAATAGGCAACTATTTTATATGTGCCCACATTTTTATATATTTGTAATAATGGATTTGGACAATGTATACTTTTCAATAAATGCAGCACCTGGCAAGTGGGCGTTTCAAAGATCCATAGGTACCAATCGTCACTTAAGAGCAATATGGGTGCAATAAAAATACATGGGCCTAATATTTACAAGACCATAAGATGATATAGGCCTTCATATTTACATTTTATCAAATTAAAATAACACACATTCTTAAGTGTTAAGATGAGCAAACACAATTTGGTCTACCTTTATCCTTTTCTGCAACTAAGTATTCCTTGAGTTTGAAGTATCTCCTGTGCGCACTGTACGATCTCTCGTCATCGCCACTTCCCTCTGTCCAGTGCACGTTCGCGTCCCCTTTGACTTTCACGAAAAGACTCTTCACTTTGGTCTCTTTTGTCAAAGCGAAAGCGACTGTGCCGGTCACAGTATCTCCGTCAGAAAAGGTGTCCTCTTCATTGAGAGCTTCATAAGTCAGACTGAAGTCCTTTATCGGAGACATTTTTGATGTATGGACCTACTTGTGGCCACACAACATAAAGTATTGACGTATAGGTCTCGACGACTATCTGAAATGTCCGGCCCCGCCCGAAGTTTGAGGTCACGAGAAGCTGTTAAACATTTATTGCGACAGACTTTGAAGCAATCCATGTATCTTAACAGTTTATTTTGCACGGGTTAATTCGGGTACAAGGGGTGTTTGGCTGGCAGCAACTTGGATGACGTCAGACGAACAACCCAAACTAGGATCCGTGTATGACGATTATTCATAATAAAGTTTGAGGGCTATGCAACAAAACAGTGAAACCACAGAGGGCGCCAGGAGATTGCCTTGAAATAGGGGAGAGCGGGGTAATTTGTCACACTGTTCATAACTTCAACACTAGAGGCTCTATCTCAAAAATTAAATATCCACTATTTGGTGTCTTCTTGTTCTGTGGTAAATTTCCTGTTAAGATGTGGTTATGGTCACTCTTATTTGAGGTGAGCACAATTTTCTTATTGTTCCGCTTCAAAAGTAAAACATTAGTATTTTACATTTTATGCAATGCAACTCTGTTAGGTATTAATGTTCAAAGTTATAATTTTGTACAAAGTAGAGGAGACAATAATAATAATAATGTGTCTTTTGATACTTTAGCTTAAGTGCTATGTTGAGTTAACCTTGAGATTTAGCCAACATTAGCACACGTCAGTTTGGGGGAAGTTGTCTCAATGACTTTGGGGCAAGTCATCACATGTGACAACTTGCCCAAGTACTAACAAACACAAAGAAAATGCTCAAAAAACATTGTGATATTGTGTAATTAGCTCTGACAACAGTGTTAAAATATATACTATGATTAGAATATTATAGCTACAGTGTAGTTTACAGCATCAGGCATGGACTACACTACTTCATGACCCTGTATGAAGTAGTAGATATACTACACACACACACTACTTATAGTTATTAATTTAGTCTGGTGTTATGGATAGCATTGCTTCAACAAAGATAGTGAACAGCATGATAATTGTAATTGCAATGAGGAAATGTGTTTTTAAAGGAAGGAAGGAAGGAAGGAAAGAAAGGCAGGAAGGAATGGTTAGAAATTATCAACAATAGACACAGCATGGCAGCCCACCACCTGACATAATCGTGAAGTCAGTCAGTCAGGCAGGTGAAGTCGCAGAACAAATCAATCAGGAGTGCGGCGAAGAATTTTGACATAAATTACTATTTTCTGACTCGATACTGTTAAAAGATTACCAGAGAAGAAATAGAAAGTGAGACAGCCATGCCATCCACAATGGTTGGTTATACAACACCACAGAAGATTTTTGTCACTGATTTGGAGAAACAGCTTGTTGGGTATATTACTAGGTCAGCTGACATTTATTTAAAATATGAGTTTGGACCACAAGACATGGAATGTTGATGAAACTGGGGTGACCACTGTACACATAAATAAAATGGTAGCCAGACGTGGATTCAAACAAGTAGGGTCACTGACCTCTGCTTAAAAAGTCACACTGACCTATGCTGTCTTAGCAACAGTGAAAAGGATGCCTCCATATTTTATTTTCACAATCATTTCCTGATCAATGGGCCACCTGACAAGCAAACGAAGGGCAAATCCATCTGATACTTTGTTGACTTCCTGAAGGTAGTCAAAGGTAAAATGGCGCCGCAGAAGGTATTTTGCTGCGCTCTGTTTATTTGTTTATGTTTCAAACGCTCCAGTCTGTCGTCTGCACGTCCATCACTGTCTGGTTTGGATCTGCCACCAAAAAGGACAGGGACAGACTACAACGGACAGTCAGGACTGTAGAAAAAATCATCGGTGCCAACCTGCCCTCCATTAAGGACTTATACATTGCCAGAGTCAGGAAACGGGCAGGACAGATCCATCTCACCCCGGACACAACCTGTTCCAACTTCTCCCCTCTGGTAGGCGCTACAGAGCACTGTATGCCTAAACCAACAGACTCGAGAACAGTTTCTTCCCACAAGCCATCACTCTGATGAACAGCTGACTCTGACTCACAATGTCAGGAACCATTCCTGTGCAGTAACTCTGCCACCTGTTTACTGGCTACCACTTACTATTTATTCATCATTCTCTATTTCAGAGCTGTTCTTCCTGCTCATATTGTCATATTATACAGTATATACAGTATATAATGTATACCAAATCCACCTACCTCATGTACATAACACTGCACATAATACTTATTTATTTCAGCATTCTTTGCACTCATCACACTGTGTACATGTATGCTTATATGTGTACGTGCACCTGTTTATCACGTCCACTTCCGACATGTACATAATAATAATAATGGTAATAATAATTTTCTCCTGCTTCCTTTGCACTCTGCTCATTGCACTATTGTCTCGATCTGTCTGTTTTGTTAATAGTGTGTATATATGTGTTCTCTATACTGTAGCCTGTGTTTGATTATTATTGTCTTATTGTAAGATACCTTGTATGACCTCCCTGTACCTTGTGAAGAAATAGGTTTATCTTTGATAAGATGAAAGAGATTAGATCACTACATTATTTGCCAAATAATCACCTCACCTGCCTAGTCATCCTGGCTTTGAAATGAAAACAAAATTAAGTAGCCTAACAAACTTAACCTGACAGTTCTTTAGTAAGTCAAAGAAAACACTGGCAATTTGTGAGTATAACAAATCAGGTTATGTAATGAAAGACATTGAATTAGCTGTCTCGTGTTAAACACAACAGACTTGACATTATGGGGAGAATATTTGTCCCCTGAACTGATTGCTATATAGCCTCCAAACAGAAGAGCGAGGTAGAGAGAGTGGGTATCAACTATAACACTTGATGAAAATGATCAGTCTAGGACACTTAAATTGAACAAGGCACGTAAAATACACAGTGCAGGCCTACTCTGATGATTAAGGTTTGAGTAAGACCAGAAAACAACTATAACATTTAATGCAAAAGCCCTATTTTTGTATACAATTCTTAACATGCAAACAGTAAATATTGTATACAATGCCCTTTTTATGCACACTTAAAGTGTTAAAGACACTATTTAGCTGACCAGACTTCACATTTTTTACTATAAGTATTTTGCTTCACAATTTAGTCAATCATACATTCTATTATTTTGGATCAGATTTTTCAGTAGCAGAAGACGGGAAAAGGATTGAATAAGCTGGAGGAGCTTCCTCCGATTGAGACAGGAAGTCTGTGTTCATCATTGGTGCAGAAGGAGCATATGGAGGTGGGTGAAATGTTTGGGCAGTAGGTGGAGGGTGAAGAACAGAAGATGATGATGAAGAAGATGAAAATGGAGATGGACCACCATATGGAGAAGGCAGCTGTGGCACTGGGTTACTGTAGCACCCACTCATGTGTGCCAGGTTCACACCTGGTGGACCAGTATTCACCGATGAGGTATATGGGTACACAGGTGGTGGTGCTGAATATCCGTAGCTGCCTGAATGTGCGGATGCAGGATAAGGACTCATAGATATTGCAGTGGGAGGGAAGGCACTGTTGGTTGGGTACCCAACAGCCCCAACTGGATAGGGACCCATAGACACTGCAGGGGGAGGGAAGTCACTGTAGCTTGGGCCCCCAACAGCCCCAGCTGGATAGGGACCTGCAACCAAACCATGGTGAGGGCCAGGAGCTAAGTCAGGAGGAAGAATTATCACAGGGAACATGACCTCTGGATCAGAAGCAAAGCTGATGTCCAGGTACACCTGAGGAAAAAAGTTATTTCTTTTAAAATAGAATAGTGAGAGAGCATCAACAAATTTGGAAAATCTTTATCAATATTAATGGGTATTCAGTTTAAAAAAAAAATCTGGTCAGTGGGCTTAGCTTACTGTGCTTTACCATAAAGACACTCTGTTACGTACCTTTAAATGGTATTCCACTGAGATAATGTCACAATTCTGGATTGTCTGCATCAGACCACAAGGAATATTTATTACAACTGTAACCTCCTTCTGTGTTTGGGGTTTAATACAATGGTCAACCACTTTGTGGATAACGTTGCCCTCATGTTTGGTATTGCCGTTGGCACGGTACACGACATCCTGGATTAGACTGAATTTGGGTGTCATCTCACTGGATGAGGAATTGTTGATTTTTGCAACAATTGACATGGTTTTACCTATGAAGAGGACAGCATAATATTTAATTAATCATTAATTCTAATTCAAGTGCCACACAGGAGAATGTACTGTGCTCCCGAATGTGTATAAACACAGTTTATCATTGAGCCTCTGAGCCACAACTTACTCACGATACATGAACAGTGCTGAAATGCTAAACCCTACCCAATTATTACTTCATGAAGGTTATTTGAAAGCACTACTCTAAATTCTTTTTTCATACTTTACAAAAACCATCACTGACAACAAAACATTTTCATGGCAGACATTTTAACATTTTAAGCATAGGTGTAAGCCAGCATGCACAATTCTAGAAATAATCCTAATAACATGGCACTGGAATGGACAAATCTAAATTGAATGCAGCTGTTATTTATGTTATTTGTTACACTTGTGCTTCTCCTGCAATAATTTAAAAATGGCTGTAGTGAAAAAGACTGTGCAGTGCATTAAATATATTTTTTGTTGGCAAAAGTATGAAAGCTGGATAAGACAATTAATTAACTATAATGTCAATAGTATAATGGTGTGCTTTATTAAAATAGTATTGTGAAAAATGCTGGATGAGCAGTCATCACACGAAAAAAAAAATCTGCAATTTTCCTACCTGGGGCATAAGCCCTGCCGTCAAGCATGACATCCATGTGCACATTTCCTTTTGAGAAAAATCCCATCTCTTTGTTTGTTGAACCAGCTTGGTGTGACTAAAAAACAAAAAACAGGGAAAACAATAACTTGTTACACAATTTAGGTACTACACTAATATCTTCCGCTTATCCAGGGTCAGGTTGTGATGAAACAGCCTAAGCAGGGTATTCCAGACATTACTCTCCCAAGCAAATCCTTCCAGTCCCTCCTAGGGAATCCCATGGCATTCCCAGGCCAGATGAGAAGTGTAATCCCGCCAGAGAGTTCTGTGTCGAGCCCGGGGTCTCACCAAGTTGGTCGTGTCTGGAATACCTCCAAAGGCCTAGGAGGCATCCTTATCAGATGCACGAACCACCTCAACTGATGTTTTTACTTTGCTTTTATGATCTTACCTGTAGCACTTTGAGATTTGCTTCAAATGTAAAGTGCATTACAAATAAAATATCTTATTATTATTTACGATTGCTGCACACCAGAACTGACATAAATGTAATGCAGCCATTATTATTGTAAGTAATTACAACTGTGCTTTTCCTACTGTGAAAATGGCCTATGACCTCCTCTATATTGCAGCAGTGGGACAGGTAACTTCACCAAATAAAAAAATAAACTCTCTGCATGGCTTGCTGCAACTAGGGTTAACTTAGAACGTGTTTTGCGTGAACAGTGTAATACCAATATTTTTCATTTTTCAAAGTCTGTTTCTCTATTCTGCTACACCCCCAAATGAAGAGTGCTGCATTTAAGAAGATTGTACTGTTGGCACCCCCAGGAACATCACATTGGGAAACTGAATCATCCCATACTAAGCTGTGGATTTAAAAAGGGGGTATAGTTTCTGTTAAGTGACATAGCAGAGATTTTTGTGCACCATCAAGGACTGAAGGTTTGGAAAGGATTTGGAGACAAAATGTATCTCCTTTTCTACTGTATGGTCCATCCTCCAACTCCTGGACAGCTTGGCTTCCAGCTTGTAGACAATCTTTCCGTGACTCCCCTTGAAGGATGCAGGCATGCTTCTGTAACGGAGAACCAGCAAATTGAGTAAATCTGTATAAGGGCAGAGTAGATAATAAATTACGCAGGGTGGGAAAAATATTGCTGGGTCTGTAATGGTGAACCTGCAAATGAATGTTATGTAATCTGAAATGACTTAACAAAAGAGTGAGCTTTTGGTTGTGTATTTTGGTCTTGTTTGTTTTAATCAATTACATTGTGAAAGTTCAAACATTATGTTTTGGTAAATTGTCACTTACCCTGGTGGTATGTTAAAATGGAATTCATAGACATGGGTGCCTTGGGGAAGTACAGTGTCTGAAAGGGAAAGGAATTTAGCGGTAACACGGACTACTGCATAGGTGTCATTTACACTGGGGATGCTGGGGACATGTCCCCACCTTTTTTATGAAATGGCTGATTTTATCTCCAACTTGTTTGTATTTAATAGCTATGAATATTTTTCCATCACTGGACAAAAATGAAGGAGAAAACAGCATTAACGAACAGTGAATCAGTGAGGAACCAAGAGGGCCTACAACATGTCGTGCTGCGTTCCAGGTAACTCGGAACTAGGAAATTTCTGACCTCCAACTAGAAAAACTATCCTGGAACGCCACCTGAAGTCGTATTTCCTACTTGTGAACTTGGAGAAAAAAATATGTACCCCGACTTCACGAGTAGCAGCTGAATTACGTCACAAAACAATGTCAGTGCCCATGGAAGCATACACTGTAAATGGTAAACCATAAAATAAAAGGCAACAAAACGTATATTTCCATGTATTTAAATTAAAATAATAGCCTACATATGATCATATAGTAAAACCTGTTCTGCATGTACATGAATGTAGAAATATGTTATGCACATTAGGTAGCTGGCTACAGTAAATAATCTCATAAAGTCATCTTCTCTGCATAAGTTATAGTTAAAAATGCCAAAACATTGGGAAGTGTAACCTTCAACATTGACTGATTTGAGGCTTAACAACTGATGTAGCTAGAGGGGTACACAGTTAACTTGTAACGTATGGGCTACTTGTGTCATTTGTTGCAGTTAAACTGCCATCCTTTTAATTAACACCTAAAGCACTGCTGAGGGTGCAAATGTGTACACTTTTTCACGGTCAGACATGGTTTTCGTTCACTTTCGACGTCATGCACCACCATGCACCTGGAACGCTTTGATGTCGGAAGTTTCAACTGGTAAATATCCCAGTTCCGACCGGTCCCGAACGCGGCATCAGTCTTAATGGGTTTTGGAAATGGCATGCATAACTAATAAAACGTGCCACACCTACCCTTTGTATTCTCTGGGATTAAAAACTGCTTCAGTTTAAAATATCTGTTGTGTGCGGAGTACGTGTAAGTTCGGTCGCCGTTCTTTTTCGTCCAATGCACATCTGCGTCTCCTTTAGCTTTCACAAACAGGCTTTCTATGGCGGTCTCCTTTGACAAGGCCAGAATCACTTTTCCAGTTACAGTGTCTCCCTCAGAAAACGTCCCGTACTCATTCAACGCGTCGTAAGTCACCGTTAAGCTTTTAATTGCAGGCATTGTCGTAGAGAAGAGTTAGTAGAGACTAGTTAAAATAATAAAGAAACAATATCATCGATCCACCCGCTGATTTCCAAACGTTTAAACTGCATGCTATTTCATCAAGAAGGCACCCATGGCGTCTGGACTGTGGGACAAGACACGCCTCAAAAGAGTCTGCTCAAAGACCTCTACTGCCATCCAATGTACAAAGGAGAAACTGGGGGCTCAGGTGCAGACCACTCCGTGCAAAAGCGTATGCCTTCCAAAATAACGATACGGAGCCTCCCGGAGGTTAATCATAGGAAAAATGGTGATGAGGAATCTCGTGCTGCACAAGTGGCTAAACAAGCACTTGTTTTATAGGCATAGATGGGGACCAGTGAAAATTACATCTATGCATATGTACCCACCACATTTTGAAATGGCTGATTATATGTTAGACAACAAATGAAAATGCTTTGAGAAAGGTTTATTTGCAGAATATTTGCAATGCAATTTAGTTGAAGAAGAAACAAATGTGCATTTTCCAAAAATTGCAGCATTATATTCTGTTATATTTTTATATTTATAGATTGAGTGTCTATATTATATAAAGAAAGAGGACCATAGTGTTGACAGTTTTAACAGCCTTTTTGGTTTTTGGTTTACTGTTGAATTTGCATTTATGAATGTGGAATTTTGCCATTAGAACTAATACATTTATTATAAAGTATTTATTTTCTTCTCATGTCACTCCATTACTCAGTGACCTCCACTGGCTCCCCGTGGCTTCCAGAATCAGATTCAAGTCACTAATGCTTAAATACAGAGTGACTACTGGGTCTGCACCCATCTACCTAAACTCCATAATACAAACTTACATTCCTTCTCGGCCACTACGCTCCTCCAATGAACGCCGCCTGGCTCTGCCATCCCTTCACACAAAGCAATCCCAGTCCTGGCTGTTCTCATCTGTGACACCATGATGGTGGAATGAGCTACCACACGCCATCAGAGCAGGGGCGTCCCTCTCTAACTTCAGGAAGCTCTTGAAAACTCAACTCTTCTGAGAACACTTCCTCTTATAACACCTCTAACTCCTAACCTGTAACATGCACTTCCTGTGCTCTTCTTCTTCTATCCCCTTAAAATTATGTTGTATTGATTGCTCTTTTTTTACCCCATTGATGTGATATGAACTATGAGCTCTTACTAGTATGTATTGTCAGTTGTAGATCTGTATTTGATGCTCTGTTGATGCTTGTATGTTGTTCCTCAAATGTAAGTCGCTTTGGATAAAAGCATCTGCCAAATGAGTAAATGTAAATTTTGAATTTATAAAAGCAAAATACTACATTCTCCCACATTAATGCAAAAATCTCTATAAATGTAATCAATGATGAATATGCTGAAGTTTTGCCAAAATTTTCTGATGTGTAAATAATGCCAAAAAAGGTGCAAAACAGTTTCTGGGAGGTCTTCACAAAAATAACAGTTTGTATTGACGTCTCTTTTAAATTTAACCATGTTGCGATTAACAGGATATATCTGTGAATCATGCTAAATGATACTTCCTTTACTTTGTTTAAAATCAGGTATTTTTGAGGAATCATCCAGATGTTTTTCCCAGTCATTTACAAATAGGATCCAATAAGCAATCATTAAAAACACAAGCAAGAGTGTCAACAGAAATACAACTTCCTGCTTTTATTCTGAAGGTCTGACGATTATTCCGGAAGTCTTATTTGAAACTAAAACCTAAAAATATTATATTATATTATAATTAAACCGTATATTCTTCAAACGTTGACGTTTCTCCCGACATATTTAACATATATTATAGTGGTGACAGTTTCAGTTTTGAATAGTACCTACGTTTTGTTTCCTTTCTGAGGATGTGCTATAAATAATATGCTAACTTACCTGTTTATGGGCATCAGCTGGCCATGAGTGATTTTGTTGACCTTCATATAATTCATAAATGTACGATCAGACATATTTATATATATAATAAAACTGTGAACTGAATTTCCCCAGGAGAAAAGAGCTGGGTTTGAGACCATCTATTGCGCATGTCAGAGATCAAAGTCAAACGGGTGGGCTCCTTTCGCGGCGCTCCGACCGGACGGTTAGGACCATAGACTGTAGACAAAAAGGATAGGACCTAGGACCAGACCAACAGCAGTCGCCTCTCCTCGTCAACTTACCTTCACACTTTTGTAAGTGGTAATAACTTATTTTATTTTGAGTACTAAAATAATTTGAGCTGCCTGTTTGCAGTTACAAATGATTGCAACACTGTATTTCCTAGCTAGCAAACGGAAACCTAAGTTAGCTAGCTAGCTGGCAACCTAGCTAGCTAACGTTAAGCGTTTGGTTGTGAATGTTTTTAACATGAACCTTAGCTAGACTCTCCGGAGTTTGCTGTTTGAATAAGTTATATTAACACAAAACTTGGTGGAAAATCTTCGTGAAATGTCAGTGTGGATGGCATGTTGGAATGTTTTAGTCTATACCATAGTTTAATGTGTGAATTAACTTTCCGATTACATCTTCATCTGAAAATATTTCCCTTAGTATAAAACGAGTATGCAGGTGTGTGATGGGCTAGTGGGTCAACTAAAAAAAACAACAATTAAACAGGCCCACTTCCTGTTATTACAATGTCCATGAACATTGAAAAGTGTGCTATATAACGTTAGTGATACTATTTTAGTTGGGTGGCATTAATTCATATTGAGGAAATGGTCCCTATTTCATACCATACCCAAATAAAGTGCATCTACAAAGCCACCAGCCACCCGCCATGCAGAGTATTAATAAAAAAAAATAAAAAAAATATACATGTACATCCTGGCGTTATTGGCAAATTTAACTCTAATACCAGCTAATAAAGCAGGCCACTACTATTAGGGGTGTGAATCTTTCCATATCTTTTGATTAAAAATCGATTATTGATTCTAAACGATTTCTGATTAAAAATTGCTTCTTGATTCAGTACATAAGAGTGCTAATTTCTGGATCGACGCCAGTCCACTAAGGCAGGCAGTATGGCAAATTATGGCATGAAAGCAGCTCTGGGTGATGGAGTGTGAAGTACATTTGTAGTGTTCACAAAGTACTTGATGATCATTTTGCTTGACAGGCAATGTTACTGTAGGTATCAACTATGCAACTAATGCATTATTTACAAGTGACACTATATCCAACAGGTGCCTAGCAGACACAACAGCATGTAGTGAAAATACACAAAAAACAAACAAAAACATATTGACATGTTTGTGTGTGCATGCATGTGTGCATCTGTGCTCAGGAGGTAGAAAATGGGGGATGGTGCGGGGAAACTGAATCGGGAAATGGGGAAAGTAAATGCTTTGAATTAAGCAAAAAATAAATAAATAAAAGGGGGATTATAGAGAAGAACAAAAGAAAAACAACAGTAAAAAAAATAATAATTAAGCAGAGCTAAAAAAACAAAAAACCTCCTTCCTCTTTCTTCCTGCCCCCCTAAGTTTGTTAAATTTTATAACCTGCTTGTCGTCACACACCTGGAACAACCTCTGGACACAGTTGGAGTAGATCTTTTCCTGTGTTGAATGTTTATTTATTTAGTAAGTAGACAATATTTTATTTATTTATTTTCTGCCATTTCCTTCCTTTTCTATCCTCCTTTCTTCTCTTCTGAAGATGAAGGAGACATGATTATTCTATATTATTAAGGTCATCATTCCTGCTGTTAATTATAATTATTATTATTATAATTATGGCTGCCATCACCTGTATATATAACATATACCCCTGTAACTAAATAGATAAGTAACTAGCTAGAGTCTATTAGTGGTGTAATAGATAATAGAAAAAAAAAATTAGGGAAGAGAAAGACACAGAAAAGAATATTGGAGAAGGAGGGGAAATTTCTGTGTCTTGTGAATGTGCTCGTTGGGTATAGAGTGTTGTATTGTTTAGGAAATGGATGTTATAGCAGAGGTCAGTGGATAAGCATGTGGCCTTGGGGTGGATTTGTGTTAAAGAAGGTTAAGAATGTATCTTAGGTTTCATAAAAGGTTGATATTACTTGTTTTGTAAACTGTTAGGGTTATATAAAATAAAAGCAAATTTAAAGCAAGTACTATAACCACAACTGTACACTAACAATGTAATGTCTATTTAGAAAAATAAAGCAACAGCCCCCTTTTCCAAAGTGCTTATAAGTTTAATAAGCAGAGAATGTTCTGTAGGCAACATCACAAGCTAGATGTGTCTTGATCTGCTTTAAAATGTTAAACCATTACTCAGATTGTAACGACAGAATAACAGCGGGACGAACACTGAATCTATCTTACAGTTGTGGCCTGTACTCTGTCGTTTCTGCTCTTTCGTTGCTGCTGCAGTGGTCTGAGTAACTGGGACCAGTGGGCTCTGTGGGCGTGACTGGCCGGCTGGCACTGCTAACCTCTTGGGCACTTGTGGAGCTTCTCAACCCTGAAAATGTTTGAGCACATTTTTGATTCGCCATCAACAACAACAACAACAACTCTGGATTGGACATCAAGAGCTGCAAAACAACTGCACGATGTTGAGTTTCATTTTGTTTTGTTTTTAAATACTAATGTTTTTGCAGTGAGTTGCTAGTTCAACTGTCCCGTCATTACGTTTTACTGGCCCGAGCCATCGGGCCACCGTTATTGTCGAGCCCTGTCCTGGTACACTTGGCATTTAACATACCATGTATTGGGACATCCTAAATCTTGTTCTGGCATGTTGATATTGGCACTTGGTACCGTAATGCGACCTGCAATTCCTCTGGAGCTGGCTGGAGATTGCGGCGAAAGAAGAAACACAATCTTGAATTTGCAATCATTCGTGCTTCAATATCACTGAATGGGGAATGGAGTGAATATTTGTATACCTGAAATGTATTGTGACAAGGGCTGCACAAGTAATTAAAATATTATTGAAATTGCAATTTAATGAAGGGGGTGGCCTTTCAGCAAGAAGGTTGTGGGTTCAGACCCCGGTTGCCCCGGCCTTTCTGTGTGGTTGTTTGTCTATGTGTGGCCCTGCGATGGATTGGCGACCTGTCCAGGGTGTACCCCGCCTTTTGCGCAATGTCAGATGGGATTGTCCCAGCGACCTGGAAGTTGATGTATTTACAAGTTGGAATACGAGTATTTTTTGTTTTTATACCCCTGGCAAAAAAAACATCTTAATTTTTCACGTTATACTACCCTGTGAAAGCATGTTTTAATCCCCATGGGCACTCAAACACACCTACACCACTGGTCTCTCACTGCAAACTGTCTGCTTCCAAAACCAAGATCTGCACTATGTGTGCTCCCTGTTGCTTTACTTGCTCCGCGACTTGTAATGTATTAACAAGTTTAGCGCCACCCGGTGTCATTGTCCCGATGGCAATTTAACCCTCGCAAAGCCACGCCCCGAATACACAGCTGGCCAATCACAGCGCAGTATAGGACTCACTCTAAGTGAGGTCCAACACTTTCATGGTTGTGCTCCATTGACTCCTATGCAAAGGGTGTTGTTTTCTAGCTTTTTTTTGCTGTATTTTTCTAAGATATGGTCAAACGCTGGTTCTGGGGCACTTGTAATTAGAGCCCGACCGAGATGAGCTAATTGCATATAAACGGTCGAATTCATTTAAAAACAGCAGATATATGATTATTAAAAAAGAAACCTAGAGTCAGATCCTTTACTCATGTCATGGGTGTTGCATAGTTTGACCACCAGAGGGTAACCAGCTGCAGCTCCCCTGTTAACTACACTGCCTCACCACAAAAACCACAGAAGAAAACAATCAGCTGACCAGAGTTTACCGGCGCTTACACGCAGCATGCAGAAACACGCAGAGGGCTGTGTGAGCGGTGAATCTGTCTTTTGTCAAGTTAATTACATGACTTTAATAATTATAATAACAACACACCCAGTCACTTCTCCTCTCCTGAAAACATTCATGACTTGCTAACCCTCCCGTTTTTCACTGCCATCACCTGGATTCCTACCAGCTCACAGCAGTTTAACGTTACGGTAGTTGGGTGTTGGAAGCTGCTGGACAGATGTAACTGTACATTTATTTCAAACAGTGTGGTAGTTCTAGCGAACAGTCCACATTTGTCCCTAGTTCATCACTTCTAGATATTCTCTAAAATCGCATAACGTAACAGCAGCTAATGCTGCCCATTGCTAAATTAGCCACAAAGCTAATGCCGTGTTTATCAGTGGAGGAGCGCTAACATTAATGAGCCGTTAAACTATAATTTCTGACGTATTATAAATATATCTGCGAGCCTCCTGTCTGCATGTGTCAGTCTGTCTGAAATGATTAAACCAGAGCGGATATGTAAATGAATGTGAGCTGAACAAGAATCTAACACGGCTTCCTGTAGCTCCTCTTTTTGTGACGTTGTAGATGTGAAACGCTGTAGTCAGAGCCGTAATGGCTCTGGTTGTAGTTATAATGTTAGTTAAATTAAATCTCAAAGTTGCGGGTCCTCGTTGTAGACATTCCTGTAGTATTAGATGCATTCAACAGCAGCTTACTGTATCCTAGACGGCATGATTCATACCGGTGGTGGTTAAATGGTTTCACGTAGCTTTGGTTAGAATGAAAGAGTGCTGGTAAAGGGATGAACTAGATGTGAATGTGCTACATTGAAATTATGGCAGATTATGTGTAAAGGGAAATACATGTGCTTATTCTATCTGACTCTCTCTGTTTACAGACGGCTGAAAAAGTTGCACCTTCCAGTAGCAAATATTTATTGATGTGCAATTGTTTACATGTTTACTTTTTGAGACTGTAATTGATTTTAATCAACATAATCCATTTAGGAAAAGGTTTTAAAGCCCACATACATACCAGCTTTCAATATTGGCCTGTTCTAAGTCTAGTTTATACAGTAAAGGGGTCTACTATCCAAATCATTCTTAAAATCGAAATATCGGCTCATAAATCGGCTCTTTTTCACATTAATATCGGCATCAGCCCCCAAAAACCCTTATTGGTCGGGCTCTACTTGTAATAGTTACAGTTGCTACCCAGAGAGGTTTCCAAAACCTAAAACAAATCCAGAAAAATGTTGGCTGTGGATTGTTTCTCATGTAATGTTAGTTAGCTAATGCTAGCTAACTTACTACTGAATGTAACGTAATAAAGCCCTACTGTTCTGCTTTTTAATGATTGTGATAATGAATAGAGGCCTACCCAGCTCTACAGGAACAGTGTTGATCCTTAATATTGTTATTTTTTGTCTCAGTCGTCGAGGGATGCGGTGGTTCACTTGTACTGTGTGATTGGTAGGCTTCAGTTTCTATCTTTAATTTTTTCACATCTGTTTGAGTCTGTTTGACAGCCTGAATACAACTTTCAAATATAAAATACAACTGCACAACTGTCTGCTTCCTTCTGAGATTTTCCAACAAATTTGACATGATATTTCTCCAGGGAGTGCAGTAATAGACCGTGGCACCGCCGTGATAAAAGTCACACAGCTCCGACAATGTCGGACTTAGCAACAGTAACTAAAGGAGACATGGCTTAGCGAAGGTCGCCCAACCTTAATTCAAACTGCCAAAACAGAATACTATGACAATATGGATTTAGGACACAAACTCTTCTGTTCACTGTCTGTCATTTAATTTGCTGATTAGTATTACGGAAATTACCATCACAATAAAGTGTGTGTTAGTGCCTTTCTAAAATACTGCTTGTCGCTTTCAAAGTTTGCCCCAGTTTAGATAATAAAGTAATCTCAATCTGGTGTGCTATCAACAGAGCGTGCTATGGAGACTGTTGCCCTGCCAATGTGGTGAGTGCAATGAGGGGAGGACAGGGAAATAAAGTCAGGGCCACAAGACAACCAGAATCGACCAATGTGAGAAAACCAACAACAGAAGTATAAAGGGAACAAAGGAAACGTGATATAAGAAGACACTGAAATGTTTTCTTCTCGTCCTCTTCCACTGGCACAGGTTAGTTCCCGGGAGCTGTGTGCTGCTTTGATGTTGTGTATGCTTATGGTTACAAACCAAAACAGGTATTTACAATCCACATTTAGGCTTTTATTTTATAGTAATATATTTGAATTGTGTCAAGTAAGACTCTTCACCTCATTGTTATTAAAAGTACAATTTGAGACAGAAAGCCTTTCAAACTTTATTGGCTTCATGTCGGAGTGCTCTCAGCTGAATATGTCTAGATGTCTTTTCCTGAATAATGTCCCTTAGATGTTGTTACCAGCTTTGTTTTAACACACTGTTGTCTCTTTTTTCTGTTGGTATGGCCTGATTGAAAGGACATTATATTTCATGAAATCTAAAAATTAACATTTATTTTTTCACAGTTTATTTTTCCAAATATTTATAGTAGAATCCCAAAATACAAAGCTCTTTAACTGTGCTAGGGGTGGCACAAAAAATGGTGTTTCTCTAAGTTCTTTCCTTCATTGAAAAAATGAAATCATGTGACAGAGCCGTTTTTTGAATTATGTTTATTTGTATGATCTGGTACCCCTCTCACTGATTAGTGGAGGTAGCAAATCATTGCAACAGCTTAACTGCCAATCAGTTGTGAGCAGGAAACATATGAGTAAGTGTGGCAGAAATATGAAAGTAATTAAAAGTAAGAAAAGTGAGCAAATCAAATCCTGCTTAGGGCCCTCATTAAGCTAAGGACAGCCCTGCGTGCTTTGAAACTCATCTACATAAAACAGAGATGAAACTGCCTGTTAGGCAGCGCCTGATAACATTTGTTCATTATGGACTGTGGAGGGCCATCTGTAGAATAACAGCAGATGTAGCTTCATCACAAGACCTCATTACTGCAGGATTGCTTGTTTTGTGTTTCTTTTGAAATGTATCAACAAATAATTACAATTGGACAGTCAATATACTTTTTAAAATGTTGTTTTGACCTGCACACTAGGTAAAAGTAAGCACTATTATAAAAGACTTGTTCTTTGGTAATTGATCTATTAATGGCGAAGACTTAAATCACATTCCTCAGTAGAAGCTCATTAATCTTTGCCGTGTATGTGCTCCTAGTTGGATAGGTTGTATCCCAGCTTTGGGAAAAAGGGTGCCTTGGTCAAGTCCAGTCTTTATTAAGATTAATGAACAGCTTGACATTTTTAGTCCTCTGTCTGAATCGATAATTTTAATACTCATGAGGGCCAATGGGGATCTAAGCTTGCGGAACACACATTGTGGCCACAGGGCGCATGTTAAATGTCCAAGTGGTAATCAATGCAAAGAAATTAGCTATTGATCTCTTATAGTTTTGTAATAGGTTATCTATTGGTTTGCTCTTTCGGAAAATTCCAATATCAGTCGGATGGAATTGTGCTGGTAATATTGCTGGGGGGGATGTGTGTGTGTGTTTGTGTGTGTGGGCATGCATGCACATACACCCAGCTTACATGTGTGTTAGCCTGTGTGTGCAGGGTCACAGTCTAATTAGCATAGAGGGCAGATTGTAAATAAACATGTTGAAGAGAATATTGGTGATTTACATCAGACCCACAGTTCATTACAAATAAGACGTGGAACTTCAGATTGGTTTTATTCAAACTTAATGCCGACTAGAAGACCAGTATTAGTAAAGAACACAAAACAAGTGTTTCCACTATTTTTCATCATACTGTCTGTGGTATCCATTATTACTTGTATGTCTAAAAATATATTTTATATGTTTAATGGCGTGTGGGGTGTAAATGTAGGTGATGGAAAATCTACTGCAACCAGTGCTTTATGCTAACCGTTTTGCCAGGGAGTACTTGTGCTCCTAAATGAAAAAAAAATAGGAGCACAGTGAAAAACATAAAACAGAGTTTCTTAATAAAACAATTTAGAACATACATATTTATACTGCGCTTGTGTGCTCCTTCTCCTTGTGTGCAATTATTAATTTAAAACCACTGGAGAACTATGGAAATAGATGACTAGTATCTGGACACTCCACATAGGCCTTAAAGTATTAGCAAGACTTTTTAAAACATTGGAACTGATTTTTTGAAAATTGGACACATCTTTTTAAAACACTGATAACTCATCGAAATGATGAGTGAAAAAATGTATTGTGGTTGACGCAATGCAGCTTGTGGCATGCGGGACTGATATACGAAACACCAGCACGATCCTCGCCACATGTAACTGTGATTGACCAATATTTATAACAATAACTGTAGTACAATAGATGTAAAATAGAACAAGGTGAATGTTTTGCTCTTAGGCTTGCTAGAAGGAGCACAATGGCACTGGCTGAATCCTCGTGCAGGAAAAATGGTTTACGTTGTGGTTAATAGGGATGGGGATTGTTAATTTTTATTTATATTGATACCATTATTGAGAGTGCTTAACGATACGAGTCTTTATTGATACCACCATCGATACTTTACTATTATTTGGTGACGGTTATATGGTAAGACCAGACCCAACGGGCATGAGGTAGGCCTGCACAGTATGAGGAAAATGTGTGATAACATTGTTATATATTGAGATGACATATGACTTCTGATAAATAAACAAATATTGAAGTGTGTGTATTAACTGCCTAGTTGTTTTTTAAATTAATTATAGTATTAGAATTTAATATTTTAAATACAACTGTTGTTTCTAGAGTAGCAACATTAATGTTTACAACAGCAAATAAACACAACATCTGACTTCACAATACTGAGTGACGTTTAAAAAGAATAAAAAACTCAGCATCAGTCCTTCCTCCTCCTCCTCCTCTCTGCTGTTATTCACTGCCTGCAAATAATGTTACCTGGTCGAAGGAGGAGCAGCTGGTTTGTATCAGCCAGCAGCTGAGTTTAAAACAATGTGCCAAATTTTAAGACTACAGACGAGTCTATGCTACAGACAATCAGCTTTCACTTTAGCTTGTTTGTAACATTTGCCAAGTTAACGTTAGTTGTGCTCTTCTGGCCGGTGTGTATGTGTGTGTGTGTGTGTGTGTGTGTGTGTGTGTGTGTGTGTGTGTGTGTGTGAGCCGAGAGAGAGCAGCAGAGGCTGCAGCCTCATGGTAAACAGTCCTGGGCCCGTTTTATACCGCGTTTCGGTGCCATCAATAAATAAACATTTCTTTTCTTATTAAAAGCATTTCAAGTTGAATCAGATTTGACGCTCGAGACATAATATTACATTATAGGACCTGCTAGTCTTGATAGCAGTATCGATAAACTCTGACCTTTTGGACCTCGGGTTTTGAGAAAATTTGGCACAGAGTCCTTTTAGAACCAGGTATCGACCCCCATCACTAGTGGTTAATCTGTAATTTGTTAATGCTAAGTATTAACTCGACAATAATTAGAACCATTCATGCATAATATACTTTCCAAAGTTTGCTGTATGTCAACCTTTTTTAATGTCCCGCCCCATCCAGGCTTTGATTAGTCGGTTCAGGAAAAGTGACATTGACAAGCACATCGTCAACAAAAGGCAACCGAGCTAGCTAAATGCCAAAGCCAAAGCCAAACCTTGCTGATCTTATCCCTGTTGTCTTCAGTCTTACCGCTTCAGATGCCAATGACCATCTCTCTCTTTTTTGTATAATGAGCTGCTCAAGCGGCCCACAGAGCGATCAGCCTACTGAGCTTTCTCCTTGCGCTGTGATTTCCAGTTCCACTGTTTTAAATGATTCGGTGCGCAACTAACTATTTTTAGGGGCATATGCGAGTTAAACACTGTAGAGCCCTGGCTATAAATACTTGTTTAGGTCAGGAGCTCCAGTTCTTAACCTCAGTTCTAACCTTACAGAAAATGTTAGTTAAAGTTGAAAAAAGTCACTAAAACACACCTCTTCTCTGTCTGTGTATCCAGGAGATACAGTGTGAGTTGGATATGAGTCTGCTTTCCTGGGATCGTGGGGAGCTTGACCAGACTGGACATGGTAGGCCAGGGGACATTGGCCCCGAGGAGGCCCATATGAGACAGTTCACAGTGGCTAGGCTGGGCAGGGTGAAGCTGCTGGCATGTGGATCCAGTCACTCCATTGTGATTACAGGTACAGGTCCATGCCCAGTTGTATACTGCTTTTTGTGTTTTAGTGCACACTGGTTGTCTAAATGTCATTCATTATTATGGTACAGTTAATGCATTTGGGTACTAAGCATGATTTTGTGTGTGTGTGTGTGTGTGTGTGTTGTGTAAAATTTATGAGGGAAATGAGTGCATTTTATCATCGGTCCAGTATGGAGGAAACAGTGTTTAGCAGATACATTTTTGCTGTTCACGTTGGTGTTTTTTTTATTTACTAATGTATTTTAATTTTTGTTTCAGTAAATGTATGTGATATCTGGTAGGTCTTGCAGTGTTTGGAAGTTATTGGGACAAGCTACAATAACTTGTCTGATGTACTGTAAATACTCTAATGTTAATTTGCTGAAAGCCACGGTTATCCAGTGAGGCTTTATAATGTTTACAGAACAATTGACTTAGGGAGGCATTTGATCAAAGAATGTGTAAGCAACCAAGCTCATTGAATCCATTAGCAACTACCATACAGTACTTACTGTCTGACATTTAATGGACATGTTTGTACAAATTACTTTGCAGTCTCATGAGTGTATGGAGTGCATATACAGGACTCAGAAAATAGATTATCTGGTGGTACAGCAATGGGGTGTTCTGTATAGGTTTCAAACATGCATAATATCATGTACTTAGGGTTTACACACAGCATGAAGTGTCTTCCTCCCTGCCCATGAGGTAATACTGGCCTACTTATTTGCCAATTTGATAGAAACCCAGATGACAAGAAGGGAGGAGGCTCTTTTAGTACATTAGCTGGCAGTAGTCATAAATCAGCAGCCTAGATAAGTCTTATAGATCACCCCAACACAGGGATCCTATACCTCTACTATCATTACAGGGAAAAAGGTGACATTTTTGATTGATTAAAATGGTACAGGCTAGCTTAGGCTAAATCATGTTAAGTGATGTGACATTGCAGTTTCACATATCATATTTCTGTCAAGACAATGATGGTGGAAGGCATTGTCAAGGCATGATATCTGACAACAGCAGACATCTGGGGGGACTGGAGGAGATTTATGGGAAGGTTTTAGTGGTCTGAGGGAGATGAGAGAGAGTAAAAAGTGGTCCTTTTTTGTGCATTGTCACTTCCCGAGTGACTGTAAATTTTACTCCAGTGCTGTTGGGAATTGGAGACATTTACACATCCTGACAAATTGCCTGCTGTAAAAGTATTTACTGGTCTTGTACTCCCTTTATTCTTGGCCAGCTTACAAACACATACCCCCCTCACAGACACAGAAATATTTACCCACAGCAAATTTATGTTAGACACATTTATGTGGCATACCTGAGCTCTAGCCCAAGATATGTCATAATGGTGTCAGGTTGAGAGTACTGGTCTCTTGTTAATGTTTTAATAGAGGAGGTCTTGAGTAGGTCATAATGGTTTTATGTCGGCCACATTGTCTCAGATCACTGGCCATTTGGCCAAGCCGGCTTAAGGAGAGGCTTGTTTATGGAAAAATAGCTTACAAGATAAATCCACCATCCGTAAACTCTCACCATGTGGAATAGTATATGCTTGGTGTTGTTTTTTTATTCATTACCATTAATAATTACAAAAATTGAAATTATGATAATTTTATGATAATTTTATGGAACTTAGTTTCATAAATATAATAAAATGAATTGTTGATTCAATGCAAATTATAGATTAATTGTTCTATGTTAATATATTTTGTAGTACATGGATCTTGTCCTCAGATAAGGTTGAAATGATTACCTTTGAGTGAACTTGGTCTCCTCTTATTGAGTTTTTGTGCATCTTCAAATATTGCTCCACATTTTATGAAAGCTTTATAAATTTCAGCCACTGGGTGGCACTATGAGACTGCCAATAGGAAAAGCATAGCAGAGGAGGTTGGGTGGGTGCTTGTGGGAGAAGGGAGGCCCACACTTACCTCACACTCAGACAGAGCTATAATTTACTAATAGTGTGGAAGCCGCCATTGCTGTTATCTTTTAATAGATTTGTATGGGGGAAAGCAGGTGCCTGTTGTTAATGTGTCCAATTGCCCAAGTTGCCTACAGAATTTAGGGCATCCATCACTGTCGTCGGCGGTGACACCCTGTCGTTCTACTTCACGCGGCGGGCCGGCCGGGCTGGGGTGGTAACAGATGAGGCTTCTCTCTCCTCCAGACGCCCACAGTCACACAGAGACGACCGCCATACGTGCTTGTGCAGGCATACACACACAAAAACACACACAGCTATATACCACATTCTTAGAGGGCAAACAAAACTCATACCCATTACAACAGGATATGCATTTATTTAGTGTGTGTGTGTGTATTAAATAGATATATATTAAATAGATATGATGAAAGAAACAAAAAAGGCATTACCTCTAAAAATTGATATTCAATGTAAGTGGAATAACTGATATGTTGGAGACCGAAAAGTGGCATAAAACAATCTCAGTAAACTTAGCCCCTTGTTGCTTTGAATTCTTGAACTTCCAGCTGCACCTTTGAGCTTAGCCAGGGGTACCACTTTGCTTGAAAGTTTGCCCTCCGCCCTGGAAAACACCCCGTGCAGCTGTGTTTCTTTAGACCCGGGCTGAGAGTTGGAGGGTATACAGAGGTGCCTGCTAATACCTTGTTAGGGCTGTTTCAGTTGCTGGGTCTCAGTGAGGTCAGTTAGTTGCTGCTTTAGTTCGAGGCCCTTGATCTGGTGGATGTTCGATGAAGCCAAGGACTCGTGTTGGCCGTTTGTGACCTACCCTGATTTTCTACAGGAGGCCTCGCTCTTGTGAGTCCCATGGACTGTGTTAGAAGTCAGAAGTCTTTGGTCAGAATTGGTTACTTTGATTTAGCTCTTTGAGTGCAAAGATGGAATTATCTTTTTTATATAACATATTACATTCTTAGATTAGACACCGTTGTGACAGTAGATGTTTGACAGAAAGTCAGTATGCTATCCCAAAAAAGGATTGATGAAATACTGGAGCTGGGGGGGGGGGGGTCTCCATTTTTTTCTTCACCTCTTTCCATTTGAGTTATGAACCTTGGTTAGGCCTTGGTGTCAGGTGTTAAACAGCATATAAGGGCTATGACCCTACTAACCCTCTCTGACATCTCTCTTAACATAAAACAGAGCCCTCACTCTCACCGTAATTGTAACCATCGTGTTACTTTTGCAGTTTTCCAGTATTTCTCTCTAAATGCTGTTGGTAAGCATTGTACCATTTTATGAGTTAAGCATTCCTCAGATGCTCCCATCATTCCTCAGCTGTGAACACGTAGTTCCTTCCTTAACCTAAAACAACTTGAAAATAAAAAGTAGGACTGTTATGACATCATACACCTGTTAGTGATAAAAAGAGTCTGGAATTTTTAAAGTTCTTGATATTATATTGCTCGTTAGTAATAGTAAGTATCGATGCATCCTTTATTCTTTGACTTATTGTAAAAATCCTTCTGCAAACATTGAGAGACAGATAGCTCTGTCTATTCAATTTAATGATGTCCATTAAAATAGATTACAGCAGACATAGTTTGCTCTGAATTACTTGGTCCTGAAATCCAATACCTTTTTTAGAAAAAAATAAAACCCTCTAAAGTAACAGGAATGGACAATTGACCTGCCATCTACGTGATCCTTATTGGCATTCAGGGCACAGTTACAACTTTGTTAAATCAAAGAGTTAGAAAGAGTGAGAGATATAGTCAGAGAGAGACAGATGGAGACACAGACAGACAGACAGCCACAATGGTAGAAAAATAATCCTCAATGTGCACGCATGACTCTCCCTTTCAAATCACTAGTCATGGCCAGGTTCTGCCTCGAGGAAAGGGTTCATGCAGACTTGAGTGGCTACTTTCTGTAAATGTATAATTCACTTGGACTTTCAGGAAACTGTTGTTAATATGGAGACCTATTTTCTCTTTCTTCCCGTCTTTCTTCATGACATCTATGCCCGTAGGCAGCACCTTTACCTATGTATTTTATTGTCTTGTTTAATGTTTGTCAAACAGTGCAATACTCAGAATAATTCTAGGAAAGTATTGGCCATCCACCTGCCTGACAACTCCAATATGTCTGCTTTGGACCCAGCACTGAGAGGAGCTTTTGTAATAATTTGCCGTTTAGTGTTGATGTTTTTCTACGATTTCCCAGTTGGGAAGGTGAATGAGTCGAAAAAGGGGGAAAAGAGGAAAAATAACCCCTGTCGTTGCTTCATGCCCTCTCTCTTACTCACTGTTCTATCTCTCTCTCTTTATTTTTTTCTAGTTCCCTTGATCTCTGTGCTAATTTGGTTGAGCAGGTTGAGCGTTTAGTTTATGCACTGAGTTGCTTTTTAAGGTTAATCGTAGGACAGAAGTGTTTATGTTGCTGTAATATGGGCTTAACTCTCTCTCTCTCAGCGAAGCATGGAGCACTTGAAATGTTTAGTTCACCATCCTCTTCCTCCTTTGCCTCCATCCCCCCCAAAAAAGACAAACGTTATACAGAACAAAAGATGGGGGAAAGTCCTGCCAATTAGCAGCTAATGAGACAAGCTTGTGAGGATATCCAAATCCTCAACGTGTTAACGTTTACAACCCCCCCCCCCCCCCATCATCTCTCTACTCCTTCAACCTGTGCCTCCCCCATCTGCCCTTGCACCCAGCCTCTTGTAAGGCAGCGAGGGCACCTCTGAGGCCCTCTGTGTGATTATTCACACATGGCCGTGGCCATGGTGCTTTGAGTGGCGAATAGGAGAGGAAGAAAGAAATGCTTTACGTATGGCTAATGTAAAAACGCTCAACTGACACATGGCCAAGGCTCTCTTCTTATTTTTTTAATTTATTTTTCCCTTTTTATCCCCCCCACACCCCCCCAACCATACACATCAACCCCATCTTCTATAGATAGATAGATTGATCCAGTGAGGCACTCTATCCCTCGCCATCCGTTCTCAATTTGCCTTAATATAGCAAAGCCAGGAATTGGGTGTGTAGGTTGTGGTTGGGAGGCTGGTAAGG